TTCTGCGTGGGGCACAGCGGGGAAATCTAAAGCCGACACTGAACGTTAAACACCGACTACAGCATCATGCACAGTGGCGTGTGGCTGAAATTTTTAACATGGCCATTTTAAACATAGTTTAAAATTTATAATGAGCACACAAAACAAAATTAAAAGCTCTCTTCTCCCCAGTTACGGGACCAATAAAGAGATTAAAGGAACAGCACAAAATGTAAAGCCAGGGGTGTAAAGGAGGTTAAAGTGTAAAGAAGGGGTGAACTTCTGTCCAATGCTGCTGCCCTATGTTATCAGTGCTGAAAACTTAAATCAGAAAACAATCACTACTCTACCCAAGACCCTAACGGACAGATGGGCTGGACGGGTCATGTACCCAGTGTGAAGTCAGGACCACTCTCATCTTTCCTCTCTACTAACAGCACCATTATTTCCAAACCTTCATTTGTACAGCTGATGCCTGACATTCTACATCTTGAGCTTCTTTACTTTGGGCCAGAACCTTTGACTCTGCAAAGTTTTAAAATGCAAAGAATTCAAGGGAAGAAAATCTAAGCTTTATTATTCACCTCTTAACCTATGCCTTTTCAGGTGGCGCTAGTGGTTAACAATCCACCTCTCAATGCAGGAGACTGTAGAGACACAGATTCAATTCCAGTCTGGAAGATCCCCAGAGTAGGAAATAGCAACCCACTCCAGTTTTCCTGCCTGGAAAATTACCTGGACAGAGGAGCCTGACAGGCTACACAGTCCATGGGGAAGCAGAGAGTTGGACAAAACTGAGAAAAGTGTCTAGGCACTCACTTGAGAGGAGGCCTCAATAAACAGGTAGAGGAGGAGAGGTCACTAGACTCTAGCGGTTGGCAGGAAAGGCACAAAAATGAACAGATTACTGAATTTGCCTAAAGGCAGCATTCTATATACCATAACAACTTAAAGTTGATAAAGGTAAAAGATTTCTGATATCAAGCAGCAGGAAAACAAATGCATAATTAAAAAAAAAAGATTTCTCAGGTTAAATTCCAGGGATTAAGCAAGCATTAAGTATTAAGCAACACTATTAAGCAACACTTGGAAAAACAAAAGAAGATAGCTACTGAAAATAAAATATAATTGCTAAAAAATATATAAAAAGATTTAAAGATAGTATTCTACCAGAACATAAGCAAAAAGATGAAAAAACATGAAAGACAGAAGACTTAGAGATTAATTTTGTAGTTCTAGCATCTGATTGGAGAAGGCAATGGCAACACACTCCAGTACTCTTGCCTGGAAAATCCCATGGACGGAGGAGCCTGGTAGGCTACAGTCCATGGGGTTGCAAAGAGTCCGACACGACTGAACGACTTCACTTTCACTTTCATGCACTGGAGCAGGAAATGGCAACATGCTCCAGTGTTCTTGCCTGGAGAATCCCAGGGACAGGAGCCTGGTGGGCTGCCGTCTATGGGGTTGCACAGAGTCGGACACGACTGATGTGACTTAGCAGCAACAGCAGCAGCATCGGATTAATATCAAGAGGAGTTCCATAAAGAACAAAGAAAATTTAGGAAAAATTATCAAAGAAATACAACACACTCCCAGAGTCAGAAAAGTATGATCTGCAAAGCACACCAAATACTCTAGAATTGAAAGGTCCACTCATTATAAAATTTAAGAACATTAACATCTTTGGGGATCTAGCTTCCAGACACTAACTTTGAACACAGAAAATATTATGATGAAAAGCACATATTTCTTCTCCCAAAAAGAGAAAGACAATAGAACTATAGGGTAAGCAAACTGCTCTTTTATCCGAAATTAAAGCAAATTGGTCTGCGAAATATTTATAGTAATTGTCCCTAGAAACACAGAGGTGACAAAATTGGGATAAATAGTAAAGGAAAGATAATCAGACTATGTTAACTGGCCCATGCAGAGAACAAATTATATAATGTAAACCCTACTGATTTTCAGTTTTAGAACCAACTTGTAGATATAACAAGAGAGCTTTGTTACAGAATGCAGATGTTAACTTTGGAAATGTAAATGTATAGTTTACAGATGTTGCAGGGTGTCTTTATCATCTCACAAAGTATACTTCTAACTATATTAAAGTTACCAATTTTTTTCTTTTCTCTTTTTATCTACTATAAGATGATGGATGCTAACTAAACTTATTGCAGTAATCATTTCACAATACAGAATAAGCAAAACCATATGCTATATGCCCTAACTTACACAGTGGTATATATTAACTGCATCTCAATAAAACTGGAAAAAAGTTACCAAAGAAGGGAGAATGAGGTGAGTGGTCTTTACCATGCACAGTCAGTAAACTGTGGGATATGGAATAGCAATTTAGAAAGGGAGAGGGAGTAGGATATTGCTCTATTATAATCTTTCTACAGAATTTTATTTTCTAGTCATATGTGTATCTGTTACTTTGATATTTTTTAAAGAAAATTTTCAAATCTATACTCAGAAATAAGGAAAGTAAATGAACACTTGGATATTTATAGTTGGTTTGTTATGATGGTAGGATTATGTGTGACTTTCTCTTTACATTTTTTCAGTAAAGCTCTGATGGTAAATTTGATAAATCAAGCATGACTCAAAATAATTTTAAGGCAATCAGGCTATGACCAAGAAGCTACTTGAGGAAATAAAAACAGAAATGACCTATAAATTCTCTTTGTAAACAACAACTGGAAGAGACAATTAAGACACACAGACAGAACAATTAACGGTGAAAACACTTCATTTGGCCTTTTCCAGAAGTGAGATTTACAGTATATTAATATATCCTGTTTATTATTTTGCTTGCAGGATCTTAGTTCCCCCAATCAGGGATCAAACCCAGCTCCTTGGCAGTGAAAGCATGGAATTCTAACCACTGAATTCCCAAGGAATTTCTGTCGCTTATTCTTTTTAACTAAACTTCTCATTTTGAGTTGTCTGTTCTTTGTGTATTTGTCTAATGGTATTCCTACATACCCACATACATAAATAACTATACACTGATAATCCACTGTAGTCCTAGTGGTATTTTTCCTTTTCTGTTTACCCTTTTTATATAAGCAACTAATTCTGTTGTGATCAAGTCTATTCATTGCTTCCTTCATGATTTCTGTCCTTTGAGCTTAATGTCAACTCTCATTCCCAAGTCAAAGGTTTAATATTTAACTGTATTTTTTTGTAGTTGTAATTTTTATATGTCACACAAGGCTGATTTTTAATATGGCATGGGGGTAGGCATCTAGTTATCCCAGAAGAATCTGTTGAATGTTCCATTCCTCTTTTAATTTGTGATGCCTCATTTACCAACCAAAATTCCTATAACAAGACATGCATGTTCAGGAAATGCTGCTTTGGATATTTTAAGTGAATAACAACATACACTTGAACATTATTTTTGTCCCCCTGTATTTATGTCTCACTTGTTTTATGTTAATATTTTGGTTCATTTAATGATTTAGGAAGAATTTCTTACAATCTAGACACAGTAAGTTTTTTTTTGCCCTTCTTCCTTCTTTTTTAAAATTATTGAGACTAATTACAACATTGTGGTGGTTTTTGCCATACACTGACATGAATCAGCCATGCATGTACATGTGTTCCCATCCTGACCCTCCCTCCCACCTCCCTCCCCATCCCATCCCAGGGTCATCCCAGTGCACCAGCCCTGAGCACCCTGTCTCATGCATCCAACCTGGACTGGCGATCTATTTCACATATGATAATATACACGTTTCAATGCTATTCTCTCAAATCATCCCACCCTTGCCTTCTCCCACAGAGTCCAAAATTCTGTTCTTTACATCTGTGTCTCTCTTCCTGTCTCGCATATAAGGTCATCGTTATCATCTTTCTAAATTCCACATATATGCATTAATATACTGTATTGGTGTTTTTCTTTCTGACTTGCTTCACTCTGTATAATAGGCTCCAGTTTCATCCACCTCATTAGAACTGATTCAAATGCATTCTTTTTAATAGCTGAGTAATATTCCATTGTGTATATGTACCACAGCTTTCTTATCCACTCATCTGCCGATGGACATCTAGGTTGCTTCTGTGTCCTGGCTATTGTAAACAGTGCTGCGATGAACACTGGGGTACACGTAGACACAGTAAGTTTAAGATACATAATGGTAAGTGAAAAAAAGTTTTCACCTCAATATTAAAATATCAAAAAATTAATTATGGCAAGAGTGGACAATACTGTTTCTGTTGATATAGTTTGAGCTCAAAGAATGATTTTCATTACTGCATCTGTGTATTAATGTATATTATACATATTCAATTTATATAAGACTTTTCACTTCATTGGTTTCACAAGACTCAAAATTTCAAAATACAAGACTTGAGAACTATAATCTGTAACAAGAAAAATTAAAAGTGCAGTTGGAAAACTTAGCGGGGAAAGAGTTTCATCCTTTATTTTTAAGAAGTCTGTATATTAAAAATACAAACAGCTGTATCATTGAGTACAGAGTTCACGTTGCAAACATTCAACCATGTTCATCACATATCTGATGATATAAAATCAAAATTGCTTTTAAAAGCTTGTCTTTCACTGTTTCTATCATGAAAATCCTGTCATTACATTTCAGTGACACACTATTGTTTAAAGGCTCCTTTTAGGCAAAAATAGAACCCGATAATTTTTAACCAAAAGTGTATCCTATAATCCTGTTTGCTCTAGGATCAATAAACACTATACTAAGACATGGCATTTAGACATGAAATATGTCTGAAACCCTTGAAGAATACAATAGAAATAGGTAAGACATTTAGAATGCTTTAATCTTTCTGGTTAACACCATTTGTATTAGTAACTGCAACGTTGTAACTTTTAGCATTTCACATAACTAGTCAGTAAGGATTTTTTTTTTAAGGGTGGGAGTACAAACAGAAGAATAGGAGATGCAAGGTTTCATACTTCTGCTTTAAAAAATCAAAAATCAAAACTACTTTCTTCTCTGCATCAAAACTGTACCACAAACTTGCAGGTTGTTTTCGTTTTAATCCCATGACTCATCATCTACTGGATTAGGAGCTTGCAATGAAGAAAACCCTGCTGTGTTCAAAGAGCTCTTGCTGTAGTAATTCTTAAAAAAGAAACAAACAAACAAACATTTAATTTTATGTAGCATTAAAGTTACACTACCTAGACTGATAGCAAGGACTCAAGGTTTCTACCATTTCTTCCCCAAACAAAAAATTTCATTCTCACTGAATCCAATCCATTTGAAAAAAGGTCCATATCAACCTAGGAAGTTTAAATTGCAGAGTATTTCAAGAAAAAATGTAAGCCAATAGTTTTGGCAAATGGAAAAACAAAGCTCTTCACTTTAATGAATAAGCATAAATAGTTAATGACTAGTATGTCCATTGTTTCTGTATAAAAATTATGTTGCCTAGACTGACACAATAGAAAAGATATGTAACCACACTGCTATTATTTTATCTTACTTAATAATGTGGTCAGAATTCAAAAAATAAAGAATTACTACGAAAATCTCAGAAGATCCTAAATTATAATTTAAAATGGGAAAGGAAGGTGTTTGAGCATAAATCTTAAATTCCTCCCCTTTAAGACCAAAACTATATATGTATATAAAATTTTTAGAGAAACATTAATCTTCTACACATGAAAATAATGGCTTAAGTTATGGTTACAGTTACTTCACAATATTAAGTACAACATTTACAAAGAGTAAATAACTAAAAGCCAATTTCTAAATTTTCCCCCTCAACTAACCTTTCTAGTATCAACTGATGCAAACACATTTCCTCTTGTACCACCACTGAAGCCAGGACCATATGTACTAAAGGCAATTTCTTCTAACCAGGCAGGAACATCCTGTTGAGCCTTAAAAAAAAATTAACTTCATAAACAACATGCATAAAGTCTCAAAAGATTCACGTTTACTTTTCCTTCGAAAAAGCAAGAGAGTTCCAGAAAAACATCTGCTTTATTGACTACACCAAAGCCTTTGACTGTGTGGATCACAACAAACTGTGGAAAATTCTTAAAGAGATGGGAATACCAGCCCACCTGACCTGCCTCTTGAGAAATCTGGATGCAGGTCAGGAAACAACAGTTAGAACTGGACATGGAACAACAGACTGGTTGCAAATAGGAAAAGGAGTATGTCAAGGCTGTATATCATCACCCTGCTTATTTAATTTATATGCAGAGTACATCATGAGAAACACTGGGCTGGATGAAACAGAAGGTAGAATCAAGATTGCCCGGAGAAATATCAATAACCTCAGATATGCAGATGACACCACCCTTACAGCAGGAAGCAAAGAAGAAATAAAGAGCCTCTTGATGAAAGTGACAGAGGGGAGTGAAAAAGTTGGCTTAAAGCTCAACATTCAGAAAACTAAGATCATGGCATCTGGTTCCATCAATTCATGGCAAACAGATGGGGAAACAATGGGAACAGTGTCAGACTTTATTTTTTGGGCTCCAAAATCACTGCAGATGGTGACTACAGCCATGAAATTAAAAGACGCTTGCTCCTTCGAAGAAAAGCTATGACCAACCTAGACAGCATATTAAAAAGCAGAGACATTACTTTGCCAACAAGGGTCTGCCTAGTCAAAGCTATGGTTTCTTCAGTAGTCATGTAAGGATATGAGAGTTGGACTTTAATGAAAACTGAGTACCGAAGAATTGATGCTTTTGAACTGTGCTGTTGAAGAAGACTCTTGAGAGTCTCTTAGACTGCAAGGAGATCAAACCAGTCAAACCTGAAGGAAATCAGTCCTGAGTATTCATTGGAAAGACAGATGCTGAAGCTGAAGCTCCAATACTCTGGCCACCTGATGTGAAGAACTGACTCACTGGAAAAGAACCTGATGCTGGCAAAGATTGAAGGCAGGAGGAGAAGGGGACAACAGAGGATGAGATGGTTGGATGGCATCACCAACTTTATGGACATGAGTATGAGTAAACTCTGGGAGGTGGTGATGGACAAGGAAGCCTGGCATACTGCAGTCCATGGAGTCGCAAAGAGTCGGACATGACTGAGCAACTGAACTGAAAATCCATATATATATAGAATGTCCGATTTCAATGACAAGAACACTATCCATTCAATTTTAAAAATTAAAAACTTACATCTGATAGCACTTTCACTAGAGGCTGTGCTAAATGGCTATCTGATTCCAGATCAAAAAAGGAAATAGCTCTGCCAGTATTTCCACAACGACCAGTACGCCCAATTCGATGAACATATTCATCAATGGCAGAAGGAAGATCAAAATTAATAACATGCTGAACATTTTCAATATCCAGCCCTCGTGCAGCTACTGAAGTAGCAACAAGAACGGGGCACTTTCCACAGCGGAAATCTCCAAGAGCTTGCTCTCTTTCCCTCTGTTCACGATCACTTGAAAGAAAACAAAGCATGTATTAGAACAGTCCTTAAGAAAATTATTAAAGAGAACCATTAAAGTTCAATGGATAGATTTTTTTTTAAGAACAGTAAAAACAATAGCAACATTTAACATTAATGTCTACTTCTTACATACAAAGTATTATACTAATTTCTTTTAAGTCATCATTTAATTCTCACAATAACACTTTGAGGTTAGGACGATTAACCCCATTTGCAGATGAAGTAAGGTGACAGCTAATACATATGACAAACATCAAATCTTACCCACTAATAAACTCTTTCTAGTTTTGACAAAAAATAAACAACTACTTGATCAAATGCTTTCTCAAAAATTAGATTTTTTAAAGTATAATCTCTGAATTCTACATATTCACTGATTAATATTTTAGACCTCCTAGTAAAGTGCCAATGAAATTGTGTTAATATACATTTTTGAGGACTCCAATGAAAAAAATATCAAGCATTGAATAGATTTAGCTGAATAAACACCTAGATCTAAGAATCAGAGAGACTTTTAAGTGAGATCACTTGACAATCATGATTAGGAACTTAAGATACTTCTAACTCACCCATCCCTGCCACTTGGTTTTTATAAAAACTTAAAAGATGAAGAATAATAGTTAGATCTTGAGATCCTAATTCCAAGATTTTTTACTAGTTAAATATACCAGCATTTCTTAACAAATGACAAATAGAAGTTACCTCCTTACTAGGAAATCATAATAACCTACTCACCCATGAATACTTGTTGTTGATATTTTTTCTTGACAAAGAAAAGTGGCAATAAAATCTGCTTTTTTCTTAGTTTCAACAAAGACCATAGTTCTTTCATCACCTAAAAGACAATGAAACATTCAAATTATAAAATCAGGAAAAGAAAAAACTGCATAGGGTGAGTAGGAAACTGTCTTATCCACCACTATATTCCCAGTACCTAAACTCAGGTCTCATAGGTAAGAGCAATTCAAATATTTCCTGAGTGGATGAATGTCAAAGATAGAGAGACAAAGGACTTTTTTCTAGTTTATGACCAAAAAAAAAAAAAAAAAAAGAAAAGAAAACCCACCGCTTGCCCTTTGCCTTCATAGGCCAACCAATAAGTAGAGACTTCAGTTCAGTTCAGTTCAGTCACTCAGTCGTGTCCGACTCTGTGACCCCATGAATCGCAGCACGCGAGGCCTCCCTGTCCATCACCAACTCCCGGAGTTTACTCAGATTCATGTCCATGGAGTCGGTGACGCCATCCAGCCATCTCATCCTCTGTTGTCCCCTTCTCCTCCTGCCCCCAATCCCTCCCAGCATCAGGGTCTTTTCCAGTGAGTCAGATCTTCGCATGAGGTGGCCAAAGTATGGGAGTTTCGGCTTCAGCATCAGTCCCTCCAATGAACACCCAGGACTGATCTCCTTTAGGATGGACTGGCTGGATCACCTTGCAGTCCAAGGGACTCGCAAGTGTCTTCCCAACACCACAGTTCAAAAGCATCAATTTTTCGGCGCTCAGCTTTCTTCACTGTCCAACTCTCACATCCATACATGACCACTGGAAAAACCATAGCCTTGACCAGATGGACCTTTATTAGCAAAGTAATGTCTCTGCTTTTTAATATGCTATCGAGGTTGGTCGTAACTTTCCTTCCAAGGAGTAAGCGTCTTTTACTTTCATGGCTGCAATCACCATCTGCAGTGATTTTGGAGCCCAGAAACATAAAGTCAGCAGTCACTGCTTCCACTGTTTCCCCATCTATTTGCCATGAAGTGATGAGACCAGATGCTGTGATCTTAGTTTTCTGAATGTTGAGCTTTAAACCAACTTTTTCACTCCCCTCTTTCACTTTCACCAGGAGGCTCTTTAATTCTTCTTCTTTTTCTGCCATAAGGGTGGTGTCATCTGCATATCTGAGGTTATTGATATTTCTCCCAGCAATCTTGATTCCAGCTTGTGCTTCTTCCAGCCCAGCATTTCTCATGATGTACTCTGTATATAAGTTAAATAAGCAGGGTGACAATATACAGCCTTGACATACTCCTTTTCCTATATGGAATCAGTCTGTTGTTCCATGTACAGTTCTACTCTTGCTTCCTGACCTGCATACAGGTTTCTCAAGAGGCAGGTCAGATGGTCTGGTATTCCCATCTTCAGAATTTTCCACAGTTTATTGTGATCCACACAGTCGAAGGATTTGGTGTAGTCAATAAAGCAGAAATAGATGTTTTTCTGGAACTCTCTTGCTTTTTCAATGATCCAGCAGATATAGACAATTTGATCTCTGGTTCCTCTGCCTTTTCTAAAACCAGCTTGAACATCTGGAAGTTCTCAGTTCACGTATTGCTGAAGCCTGGCTTGGAGAATTTTGAGCATTACTTTATTATTATTATTTTTTTGCCATTTTAAGTTTATTTTTAAATTTAAAATATAGCAAACATTTTTTAGTTTACAGTTCTATGGGTTTAAACATATGCAAAGATTTTTGAAGCCACCAACACAAATGAATTCAGAAAAGTCTAACATTCAAAAACACTTTCTTGTACTACTCCTCAAGTAGTCTTAACTCCATTTCTCTTTAAAACTATCATTTTGCTTTCATCAGGGTCATATAAATGGAATCATACAGTAGTCAACATTTTGAGGCTGGTTTCTTTCAAGTAGCATGATACATTTGAGAATCACTCATGTTGTATGCACTAACAGTTTGTTACTTTTTGTTGCTGAGTAGTATTCTACTATATGGATTTACTAGCTAATGAAGCAGTTTGTGAATATTTCCAGTTTCTGGTGATTTTTAACAATGCTATTTTAAGCATTTATGTGGAAGTTTCTGGTTGAAAATAGCTTTTTATTTCTTTGGCTAAATAAAGTATGATTGCTGGATGATGTGCTACATCTATTTTTTTTTCATTTATTTTTATTAGTTGGAGGCTAATTACTTCACAACATTGCAGTGGGTTTTGTCATACATTGACATGAATCAGCCATGGATTTACATGTATTCCCCATCCTGATCCCCCCTTCCACCTCCCTCTCCACCTGATTCCTCTGGGTCTTCCCAGTGCACCAGGCCCGAGCACTTGTCTCATGCATCCAGCCTGGGCTGGTGATCTGTTTCACCTTTGATAATATATATGCTGTTCTCTCGAAACATCCCACCCTCGCCTACTCCCACAGAGTCCAAAAGTCTGTTCTGTACATCTGTGTCTCTTTTTCTGTTTTGCATATAGGGTTATCATTACCATCTTTCTAAAATCCATATATATGCGTTAGTATACTGTATTGGTCTTTATCTTTCTGGCTTACTTCACTCTGTATAATGGGCTCCAGTTTCATCCATCTCATTAGAACTGATTCAAATGAATTCTTTTTAATGGCTGAGTAATATTCCATGGTGTATATGTACCACAGCTTCCTTATCCATTCATCTGCTGATGGGCATCTAGGTTGCTTCCATGTCCTGGCTATTATAAACAGTGCTGCGATGAACACTGGGGTGCACGTGTCTCTTTCAGATCTGGTTTCCTCGGTGTGTATGCCCAGAAGTGGGATTGCTGGGTCACATGGCAGTTCTATTTCCAGTTTTTTAAGGAATCTCCACACTGTTCTCCATAGTGGCTGCACTAGTTTGCATTCCCACCAACAGTGTAAGAGGGTTCCCTTTTCTCCACACCCTCTCCAGCATTTAATGCCTGTAGACTTTTGGATAGCAGCCATTCTGACTGGCGTGTAATGGTACCTCATTATGGTTTTGATTTGCATTTCTCTGATAATGAGTGATGTTGAGCATCTTTTCATGTGTTTGTTAGCCATCTGTATGTCTTCTTTGGAGAAATGTCTGTTTAGTTCTTTGGCCCAGCTTTTGATTGGGTCATTTATTTTTCTGGAATTGAGCTGCAGGAGTTGCTTGTATATTTTTGAGATTAATCCTTTGTCTGTTGCTTCATTTGCTATTATTTTCTCCCAATCTGAGGGCTGTCTTTTCACCTTGCTTATAGTTTCCTTTGTTGTGCAAAAGCTTTTAAGTTTCATTAGGTCCCATTTGTTTATTTTTGCTTTTATTTCCAATAATTCTGGGAGGTGGGTCATAGAGGATCCTGCTGTGATTTATGTTGGAGAGTGTTTTGCCTATGTTCTCCTCTAGGAGTTTTATAGTTTCTGGTCTTACATTTAGATCTTTAATCCATTTTGAGTTTATTTTTGTGTATGGTGTTAGAAAGTGTTCTAGTTTCATTCTTTTACAAGTGGTTGACCAGTTTTCCCAGCACAACCTTGTTAAAGAGGTTGTCTTTTTTCCATTGTATATCCTTGCCTCCTTTGTCAAAGATAAGGTGTCCATTACTTTACTAGCATGTGAGATGAGTGCAATTGTACGGCAGTTTGAGCATTCTTCTGGATTGCCTTTCTTAGGGATTGGAATGAAAACTGACCTTTTCCAGTCCTGTGGCCACTGCTGAGTTTTCCAAATTTGCTGGCATATTGAGTGCAGGACTTTCACAGCATCATCTTTCAGGATTTGAAATAGCTCAACTGGAATTCCATCACATCCACTAGCTTTGTTCGTAGTGATGCTTCCTAAGGCCCACTTGACTTCACATTCCAGGATGTCTGGCTCTAGGTGAGTGATCACACCATTGTGATTATCTGGCTCGTGAAGATTGTTTTTGTACAGTTTTTCTGTGTATTCTTGCCACCTCTTCTTAATATCTTCTGCTTCTGTTAGGTCCATACAATTTCTGTCCTTTATCGAACCCATCTTTGCCTGAAGTGTTCTCTTGATATCTCTAATTTTCTTGAAGAGATGTCTAGTCTTTCCCATTCTGTTGTTTTCCTCTTATTTCTTTGCAGTGATCGCTGAGGAAGGCTTTCTTATCTCTCCTGGCTATTCTTTGGAACTCTGCACTCAAATGGGAATATCTTTCCTTTTCTCCTTTGCTTTTCACTTCTCTTCTTTTCACAGCTATTTCTAAGGCCTCCTCAGACAACCATTTTGCCTTTTTGCATTTCTTTTCCATGGGGATGGTCTTGATCCCTGTCTCCTGTACAATGTCACGAACCTCCATCCATAGTTCATCAGGCTCTCTGTCTTATCAGGTCTAGTCCCTTAAATCTATTTCTCACTTCCACTGTATAGTCATAAGGGATTTGATTTAGGTCATACCCGAATGGTCTAGTGGTTTTTCCTACTTTCTTCAGTTTAAGTCTGAATTTGGCAATAAGGAGTTCATGATCTGAGCCATAGTCAGCTCCTGGTCTTGTTTTTGCTGACTGTATAGAGCTTCTCCATCTTTGGCTGCAAAGAATATAATCAATCTGATTTCGGTGTTGACCATCTGGTGATGTCCATGTGTAGAGTCTTCTCTTGTGTTGTTGGAAGAGGGTGTTTGCTATGACCAGTGTGTTCTCTTGGCAAGGGAAAGGTAAATGATATCTACCTGCCAACTCTTAGCAGTTCCAAATTTGATTCAGGCTCTTCATTTCCTTCTCTATAAATAAATGCCTTTGTTCTTCCCATGGTCATAGAATCTTTTATTCTACCTTGACTGCCAGAGGCATTCATAATAATTGCATTCAACCCAGGGCTGACAAACTCTACAATATTCTATCTTTCAACATTATCTCAATTCAAACCCCTTAATCCCCAAAGTATCTTATATATCTATATGGATAATAATATATGATCCCAGGGTCTTAACACATTAAAGAATATTTACTTGTTAGCTTAAAGTAGTTAATTGGTTTAAATTCAAGCATGAACCAGAGACATTTCCACACAAATAAATTTTCTATAAAATGTTAGAGAGGAAAGATAATAATTGATAGCCTGAATGGAAGTAACAAGGTGTTAC